TTCGGTAGCCATGACAACGGGGTTTCCTCGAATCTCGAGAGGGTATGAGAACATGGGACATAAGCTTGTTGCAGAACACGTACCCTCCTGAGGGAAGAGGATGTATCCTCCGCTGCTTCTTGGGGGATGATAACTCAGTTACGATGGTTCTCAGTCATCGTGAAAGTTTCGTTTCGATCGCCCTGAACAATTCTGCGACCAGTCTGCGTGTGTATTTCTCCGAATGAATTTTCCCGTATACACACATCTTTCGATCATATTGGTGAAATTTAAATTATCAGGCGACATTTTGTACGAATTATCCATGGAGAAAATAAATTTTGCTAGAATAGCAAATTGTTAATAGAGTGATAGGAAAAAAATGTATTACATGGAAAGAATAATTTTGCTGTTGTAGCAAAACGTCGTTGCGATAACAATAAAATTGAATTAGCACAACCAAATTATTTTGCCGTCCATATATCCAGCGATTAGCAATTAATATTCTTAACAAATTTTTCTGTTGTTCAAATACATTTGTTCTGCTGTCACTATATTAACAAACAATTTGCCGTTCTAAAAAATTTGTTTTCCTCGTGCCTTGACCAATGTACAATTCGTTAAGCGCGAAAGGAATAAATTTTGATTTATATGTATACATATATCGAGTTTGCGACGAATAAAACACTCGCATAGGATCTCCAACGATTTCCCTGGACGTTGCACGAACGAGTCGCGCGCTCGAGTTGCCGATCGGAAAATTGGCCGCGGGAGATTTCGACGCAACCAAGTGTACAGTTAACGTATACTCGAAGCAAAAGAGGGTAGGAAGCGCAACTACACGGCTCGTTTGTAACGAGCGGATGAAGCGACGAGAAAGAGGGATAGTTGGGTAATGACCGGTGAGAAAGCAAAGGAAATCGCGCGAGTCTACTATATTGTACGTTAGTTGCATCTCGGTAAGCTGTTCTCCTGTTCGTTATACATGTTAATTATTACGAATATGTTATCCCACTTTCTCCCCCTCACTTTCCGATATTCAATTCATTAAGAAGATTACTCTCAGCTTGTTGGTTCACGCGCTTAAGATGGTTTCCTGGTTTCGCAGTTTCTCTCCTCCATCCGTCATTATCTGGAAGACTGGCGCGTCTCGATATCGCGTCGCGGGTTAAAGCAAACCTAATATCGTCGAGTTGTTCCATAGTTGGCGTTCATCGATTGGAATGACTGTAATCGCGCGACAAAGCCCGACCGATTCTCTCATTCCTCTCCAGCAAGAGAGCCTCCTCGCAAAACGTATCCTGCCCGGAAATTATTTCACCGATGAAAAGAATTTGCACTGCCCCCGGAGCTCTTTCGTTTTCGCTGAGAAAAAGTGGGGATAAAAGAAAATTTATCTCTTTTTTGCCTTTAAATCGAAGCGAATCGATTCCATGACGCGACGTAGCAAGATTTTCGCGAAAAGATCGACCGAATGAGAAACGTCGAAGAAAATAAAGGAGTTGTAAGGAAAGTGAAAAGATTGAAATTATTCTACATAACGAGCTACTTTGTATAAATATATATATATATATATATATATATATATAAGAGAGAAAGAGAGAGAGAGAGAGAGAGAGACGCGTTAGGTAGAGTTTTCAAATAAAAATAAAAATAATAGGTCCACTACCAGGATATAAGCTCTTATCTGATCTATTTTTGCTTATAATTTTAAACAAACTTTCTTTATATTTGTCTGCAAAAGTCTTTAAGAATCGACGTGATTAGAAGGACGAAACGCGATTAACTTGTCCCAAAGAAGCAAAACTTATAAAATATTTACTAGAGTCAATCTCGTGTAGCAATTTAATCGCTTCCCTTCGCAAAATATGGCACTTATTTCTCATTTTGTTCCTTTATTTCCGTTGATGAAAGCAGTCACCCAGTTATACATTATCACACGGGATAGCAAAAAGTAAAGAAGCAGGATTACGTGACTAACGAGCCGTCAGACTGTCGGCCGTCAGGAGCGAATTAATTATTGTCCTTTAATGGTTTCGTTTCCGGCTCTTGAGTTCAGTGTCGCTGTTCCGGGAGAGAGATCCGCTGCAATATTCAATTTCATGCACCCCTTTGCGTCGGCCAGCCACCACTGCGAGCCGAAGGACAATTATTGTCCTTTGACTGCCCCCTTGAATTTCAAGCGAGTCGCCGCTCCGGAAAAACGGACTGGCATGCGTCAAACTGTCGGGAATTAATTGTCGAAATTTTTACAGGCATCTTATATTCTTTTAATCCACGGCTAAATTCCTAGGTGATTTTGACATTAACTCGCATAACTACAAAAGAAAATCACGGGAGAAAACAACGAGCTCGCTTCAGTTTGTTGTATTTCAAGCACTTGTGATATAGCATCTGACAAAAGAGATTCTCCCTTTACTTTTTTTCCGTTAATGAAGAACTTATAAACTCAATTTCTCTTTCTTTCTGAGATATAAACACACTTTATCTACGATATAATTTGACAAGAATATCTGTCAAGTGTGAAACCATTAATTAAAACATTACTGTCGCATATTCTCTTTGTTGAAAATAAATAATAATGATATTCGCTCGATTGTGAGAATAACATCGAAGGACCAATAATGAACGAACAATGAACAAACGACCGGGGGCACAAACGACACGAGCATTCCCGACAGGTGCGCTATCGATTGCTATTCCGTGCGGCTTGCGTACGAGCAGCATCATTAATTGTAATGCCGGCCATGGCGTTGCCTTTTAACGCGTCTAGTCGCGCGCGCGGAGCGGCGTTAATCGGCGCCAAGTCGAATATCGATCAGCATGGCGCGTACGTGGTTCCCAACGGCAGATTCTTGCTTCTTATCAATGTCTGTTATCGATGCATTGCGATTCAACATAATGTCTCTGGTCTAAAATAATAGAAACTGGAATGAGAAAGGAGGAGGGAAAATAGTCGCACGATCGATGGACACGAGACTTGACGCAATCCTATTTGCGTGCGGTAATGACTTTTCGTAGCATTTAACTGTTTTGACATATACAATGTAACTTCGATTGAATCACACACACACACGTATGTATATGCATTGTTTAGGTGCAATTAGAATATTTATTTAGAGTTTAACAGAACAAAAAGAAGAAAGTTGGAATCTGGACTATAGGTTTGACACATATCAAACATCTCGATAAAATGTAAGAATACGATCCAAATTAACAATTGATTTAATATTTAAAGATGAATAGAAATGATGGTGATATATGATTAACCGATCGATTCAATTTGAATTTTCTCCAAAATTATTCCAATCGGTCGTTGCGTCGTCATACTGTTTAAAAGAAACTGTACAAGATCTGATAGGATGACGATGGTTGCTGCAACTTGGCGGCGTCGCGGCTTAATCGATGATCTCTAAGATCAGTCGCTGATGCATTTACGGTCTATCTCGATTCCGTTAATTCGTCAAACGACTAACGCCCACGCGAATGACGCTCGCGCTCTGTTCATCGTGCTCTATTTCAAGTTGAACGCCGTTGCTGTTTCCTCCCTTAGGTCAAACGCCGTGCTGTCTCTCGTTCTTATTTGTACCCCTCCGACCCTGCGCGTTATTTTTGCCCATGGAGGAAAGATATTGTTTTCGCAGAACATCGTCGGATGTCTAGCGATTTTTATCAGCCTTTTTTCCTTCTCGTTCTTTTTACCTCTCCTTCTCTGTTTAGCAGATGTACGATTCTCTCTACCTTGTAGTTGGATCTTAGAGAAAAATTACTATAATCTCTGATATGCAAAGCTGAAGCGTTATTGGGAATAGAAAGTAAATTACAGCCAACGAGCCAGATTCCTCGTTATTATTCATATATATACACATCTATCCTGTAGGAAGTACCTGACTAACGAGTCTTGGAGCTAATTTCAAATACAAAATGTTACATTGATATATAGTTACATTCGATTTTACTCGACGATTATCAAGATGTGCGCGTGGCTTCTTTCGTTTTCAGTGGTTGCCATTCTTTATTGAACCACATCAGCATTTAGTCAAACGCAAACGATGAATCACAATATTGTCGAAGCTGCTGGCTCTTATTATATTAAAATATATTATAAAAATTAGAAAAATTCTCGGTAGAGTAGGTAACATCGTTATAGTTCTGCAATTCGATGTTGTTTCCTGTCGCGTCCATCATACTACCTTAAATTAGCGGTTTCGAGATACGTCATACTTCCTAAATGCGTCATCGTCATTCTTAGTATCTCAAAATTCACAGTCAAATGCTTCCTATCACAATAAACTCGCACAAATGCAAAGGTCGTTTTTAAAGTTCAAAACGAAGTATCTATATTATCTATACCCGAAATTATTGAGGAAAGGAAAAAGAGAGAGAGAGAATGAGTGACGAAGATAGATAATCTATGTTTAAATATAAATTTAGTATACTAGGTATCACACAGTTAAAGGCTAAAACTATGTGCTCGATGCAGAATGCAAAAGACCGTTGTTAATAATATCGAAAAGTTTGCAATAAACTTTCTCACAATTTTCCACAATTACTCGGAAAGCACCGGATCGCGGTTGCGTCACTTTTGACGCAAGCGTGTGTGGTTCGTTGGTATTCTACACAGTGAGCTTTTGAAGGAAGAAAGAACGAGAGGAGGTGGCAAAAGAGGAGGAGAAGAAGAAGGAGAGGATGGAGAAGGGAGATAAAAAGGAGGAGAAGGCGCGAGCGTGTACCTACGAATAGAGAAACGTGCACGATGCGAGTATTCAGTTACGTCCGGTACGTCGCGACGTCGAGACGCTTCCATTTCGTTTTGCAACGTCTTGCGATGCGTCGCGATGCGACGTGTCGTGTCGCGGGATCGTCCTAGAGAAAGAAAGGATGACGATCAAGAATTGAATAATTGAACGATTGGCGCGATCAGCTCTTTTCGTCTCCTTCTACTCTACCTCGACTCTTCCCTCTGCTTTCGACGCTCGGAAGAAGATTGTGAGAACGAAGGGTCGCGCAGGGATACAGATGTAGATTGTATCAACGGTACATTAATAATAAACTACGTGGATGTGGGTCTTTCTTATATTTTCTTTTTCTTTTCATCAGTGCTTCCGCGCGACAAGGAAAGGTCGGGAGAGAAAGAGAGAGAAGGGCTGAAAGAGGGTGTATTGATACATGTAAATAAGATAATCTCTCGGTGAAGCGAGAGAGAGACTTTGCTCGACGAAGTAAAGTGTCAACAGTGTAACTGATAAGCATCGCTTGAAACTTTCCGAGAAAGCGAGTTGGATTACTGTCTTCTTCGCTTAACATATCCTTCCCCCTCTCCTCCCGATATGTTATAGTATACTGATAAATATATTGATAAATATATTGATCATATATTAATATTGATAAAACTTGATCTCTTTTTAATTTAAATGTGTCAGAAAATGCAGCGGATGCGAAACGATTTTCTTCGAAACGGATTTAAAATGAAGTCAATTGTTGCCAAATGTTGATTACACGCGAATAGTGCGGACGAGTAATTACGAACGATCGCATCGCATTCGCAGATTGAGTGCAAAGTGCATAGTGTGCGGTTGGTCGCAAAGTTCGAGTCGACGAAGGAGGAAAGTTGACAGTGTCATGGCTTGTATCAGAGCGCCGAGATCGGTACGCGGATCTGTCGACGATATTAAGGCCGATTCCACGCGTAATATCGTGCAGGTAATTTCTCCCGTCCATAGTGGCGTGTCGAATATCGGCTGCAACCGTACAACACCTGTATAATCATCTCTCTCCTTCGATTATCGATTTTACTTATACTTCGCAATATCTCCGTTTCGAGGAGTCGTTTCACCAAACACATTCCACATTTCGTTGAATATGCCGGGAAAAGCGGGAAAAGATTCGGTGAAGCGACCCCGCGCGGTCGCCGTAATAATGGCGACCCGAAATCACGAAGGAAGGTCCCATCCCTTTGCTCCGCTTCTCTCTTTGCGCGCTCAAAAATAGTACGCGATGACTAACTCTCTCCTCTCCTCTCCTCTTTTCTCTCCTTCTCGCTTCCCCTTGTCCCTTCTACGGCCGTCTCCCCTTGTGCTTTCCGTCGCCCTTGCGAGTGCGCGCCTCTTTGGGGACTCTCGAGAGTCGCGCTCGCTTGCTCACGTTGAAAAGCCTGGCGCTCAGCCAGCGCGGTAAGCGCGCCGGAACAATTCATGCTTCCGCGCCTGATTTATGTTCATCGATAGTCGCTTATAGACACATGAATGAAGAAAAATTTTCAATCAAGCTGGTCAATCGGAGTACAGACACATGTAATGACAGACAATATGTAATTAAGATGTATGAATCCGAATAGAAATTATCATCATTTCCAATATAACTATATATACTCCACCAGTGATCATTATTCTATTTACGCTGCTGAAGCTTGACATGTCAAGAAATGCCTCTCTCTCTCTCTCTCTCTCTTTCTCGAGTCATACTATAAATTGCAATATAGGAGTTCCATTGCTGAAGCAATTATTAAAATTCACACAATTTGCAATGATGACAATACAATTAACGACGCAGCGAGCTCAATTTGAGATATACTCGATAAAATATAAACACCTGAAATAATTCCAATTTGACCGATTTCATGCTAATAAATTTGTCCGAGCACCGTCCTCCCCACCATTCGAAATATCCGAGAAATAAATGTGAGATATTCGCATCGATAAAGCTCCGGCAGTCATGCACCTGTGGCGCAGTAAAATATCGGCTAAAAAAAATGAACAGTGAGAAAGAGAGAGAGGGTAGGAGGGAGATGCAGGAGGGTCGCACCTAGTGACGTTAATAAACGTAAGTGTACCTGCGATGTTGCACTTCACTGTTGCAATCAACCGGAGAGAACGCGATGACGTATGGACAGTGTGATGGAAATGCAAATGGATGCGTCGCGTTGGGTTGTTTTCGCGAAAAGAGGGAGAATGACAACGACGAAAAAACAAAACAGTTCCGTGAACCCCGTGGTTAGCTGCAGTTGCATCCAATTTCATCAGCGGCGAATATCGGTGTCGTGAATGCAAACATTCTCCAATGCAACGATGCAACGATCGAGATCTGTTCAATGTCATCAACGACGCGCTAATTGAAATTCTGCGCAACGATCACGAATTTGTCATATAATCGTGAGCCAGCGGCGAAACGGCTATGACGGATATGACGGATATGTAATTAACGATACAACAATTGAAATTTATGTGTAATTAAAGATGTAATTGAGACATACCATATGTCGTTAACAATGTAATAATCAACTTTGGCTATGTAATGATGTAATAACAAAAAATTTGTAATGCAAGTGAATATACCGCGATACTCGGAAGAAACAATGACAAATCGAATAGCCAATTGCGATATGAGATATACTTCATAATAACGACAGAATACTTATTAATGATTTCAGATCTACACGGATTGGGCGAATTATTATTTGGAACGAGGAGGTTGCAAGAAAAGAGTGACCGATTTGCAGGCTGATCTCTGCGACGGTGTCCTTTTGGCGGACTTAGTGGAAGCTGTCAGTAAGTATTCTCACCGCTCTTTTGTTTCTCCACATTTGAATAAATAAGTATTCATACAAAGAAGAAAACGCAGAATAATGTTGATAGAAATAATTAAAAATCCATAAAAATAAGAAAAGTTAAAAGAAGAAAGAAATAGAATGAAATCTAATTACTCATTTCCATTTGCAAATCTGCAAATATATTTATCAAATGTTCGTTTGATGTCATAAAAATAGAAAAATTTGTAAAATGAATTTTCAAATTTTATTAATAAAAAATCGGCCGAACACAAGACCAATCGCAAAGCAGTAACAAATATTATCTACGATAAATATAAAGTTTTAAAACACTGTTAGTCGGCTAACAGTACCGGATCGTTTATGGTGTTGAACAGTTATTCATAACACATAAATCGGCACAGTAAAATCATTAGTGCACGAAGTACGACAATCACGTGCCGTACGTGTATGTCATATACGATTCATTGCGATGGCTACGTCCATTCACCGCGTAAGAGGAATTTTCGTGAAAATTAATCTACGATTTTCTCTCTCTCTCTCTCTCTCTCTCTCTCTCTCTCTCTGTCCCCCTCTCTCCCTCTCTCTCTGTTTCTTTTATTACAGCTAACCAAAAGGTGATCGACGTGAATCGGAAGCCGAAAAGTGCCCAGCAAATGGTGAGTGTATCATACAATTAAATGTCGCATTTGTAAAATGTCTTGTTGATGGTAAAAATGGAAAAATTTAGAGTCGATTCGTACCAGTCGTGGTATCTCGCATAGAAAAAGATAGGTAATTGTTTAAACAGTTAATTGTCGACAGGTTCTCGCGATTATTGTACCTTTAACTGTACCTTCCTGCGAAAGATATCCAATTGGTATCCTTACGTTATGATTGCATTGGACAATACTCGATAAAGTTTCCAAATATTCTTCCTTTCGTAACGCTATAAGAACTCGCATCCAGTCGCACAATTTATATCCCCGTAGGAGTAGCATCGCGTTGACTCAGAATTATGCAAATTAGAAACACGGGAGAAGGCGTCATCCTATTTGAGAGAGAGAGAGAGAGAGAGAGAAGTATAACTCGACTGCTACGTCTCGATCCGTCCGGATGTGACGTGGCTCATTTCCTCAGAGATACATTCGGAATCCATAAAACACGCATTTCTCCATTCTTCTGTTTTCTATTCAAACGTAATATTCACGCCTACGGAAAATATCAAGGAATCGAAAATTAGACGGACACGTTATTGAGACGTCGTTGAGACTCAATTTACATTATAATGTAAATACAATACTATGAATAGTGCAGCACTACAGGGTATTTATAACAATACATTAAAAATCAATTCCCTATATTTTTTAAACGTACAAAATCAAACACATCAAATAATTGTTCGATTCGAATTCGTCGTCGTTTGTGGTTCCTTCATGGTCGAAACTCGGCAGTTAACTAGGCCAACAAACTTGGTTAATAACCTTAAGCGGTACTTATCTTACAAAGTGCTTCGAATTACTCTAGAGCTTACTAGATACTCTAGAGATGGCTACGAACGTGAACGATGCAAAGCTCTTCGACAGTCTCTTAGCGAGTTTCCTTCTTACCCTCGATCACGAGCGGCAGAAACGAGCTATAGTCGGCTCGTAGACGTCGCCTTTCCAATTTCGCGTTGTCGAGGGTGGACGTAGGCAAGGAGAAGGGCTCCGGTCTATAATTAAAGCGCCGAGCACACGCGCACACCACGTGTACAGGCTGATTCACGATGATAAGTGAAGATGATCTCTCGAGCAATGAAACAAACACCGTGATCGGCTCATTTGTTATGTTTCAACGTTGAAAAACATTCGTCGTGACATAACTGAAGTCAAGCCGGAATCTTGGTGAATTATTGTTAGATTTGCTAGATATCAATATTTATACAAATGGCGAATGGTGGACGATTAATTAATTGTTAATTTGAGCATTCTTCGGCAATCCAATGGGAATCTTGTTTTCGCATATTTTCTTGAATTGTCGGTATTTTTGTAATAGCTATTGAAAGTATGACTCGTGAAGCAGCATGTAGCCGGCTCAAATCACGTATTTTCCTTTCGGCCCTGCACTCAGCACGCGATTTGCGTCGACTTACGTTGTCGTTTTACAACTAGTACAGGGTACGTACTTGTGCGACACATACAATAGCAGAGCGAAACATGCGTTTCTTCATAGCTACGCGAACCGGAAACGCCCAATGGTTGCATAAGTTGGCGTACAACATTATGTGTACGTTAAAGTGCATGAATATGTGAACCGTTCTCCAGCCGGTCGTATCCTTTCGGCAACCAGCTTCTATTCGATGAAGCAAAAAGTCTCACTTTTTATTTTTTAGTTATTTATACATTTTATTTATGCACGATTATATTGAGTTGAATGGTATTTCCCAATTTTTGAACGAGTCACTTTTTATTCGATTAACGATTACATTCTTAATTACGAATGTTCGAATAAAAGAAGGCCATTTTTTTTCTACTCTACGTCATTTGCCTTGCATCTCTTTCGGTGCGCATAAATCGATTTTCGTGACAGAATTGGGTAGTCTTTATCTTGACGCTAATCTCCGATTGTTCTCCCTCTCTCTCTCTCTCTCTCCCTCTCTCTCTCTCTCTCTCTCTCTCTCTCTCATCGATACTGTTTTTACATAATTAAAGGAAAGCCACAGCGTTAAACTGTCGAGCTAAACCGGAACTGCTGTAGTGTCTCTGGCCGCATCCGAGTCGGTCCATTGCAATCTATTTCTATTTCGTGGAGAGTCCACTTTCGACACACACACACATACACACACACACACACACACACATACAGAGAGAGAGAGAGAGAATGAGTCATTTCGTATATATTAGTCAAGCATTACGCCATCCTCCTAACGCATCTATGGCGATAATTTATAATATAAATAAAGCACCTGCTCGCTCTCTCATAAAGATAAATGCAGGATATCACGGGTTTTTTATAGACCGATAATTTTCAGCAAATTTGTTATTTCGTTAGCAAATTATTCAATTGAGGGGTGATTTGTATAATATTCTAAGAATTAAAATATTTTCCATTATAAGATTTTTAATTATATAAATTGCGAAAGTTTGTAGCATGTAGATTCACGAAGCGATACATTCACAAACAAAATAATACAAAAATATCGAAACAACGCCTAAATAAAACGCAATTCGAGGAACGAGCGCTTAAAAAAAATCGATTACGCGATTGCTTACACGTGATTAGGGGAATAGCAAGTGTGGGGAGACGAAAATGCGATGACAGTCGACGAAAATGTACTACATCGCAGGTGTCCTACATATAAGATACATATGTGCGTACATGGCGAGTGGAAAGAGAGACCGTTGAGAAAACAGGAAAACGTAGGTGCAGTTTCCTGGTAAGACTTTGTGATAAAAAATAAAGGGGAGAATAAAGAGAGGAAATAAGTGGTTTAGGCCGTGGTTCCTCTTTCGAATAAAAAGTCCGTCATACACACGAGATGTACCGTGAAAAAAGTTGTTTCTCCCTCACTTTGCCGATATATCACGCACATAGATGCAATGTTCAGTTGAAATCGATGGAATTCAACGTGCGTTTTAGATTCTTGTTCTTACAACATGATATCAATCCGATCATTCAACGACGTGTCGATTATTCATCGAGCGTATCGCGACCTCCGCTTTCCCACATAAGAATCCTCACGCAAAAAGCACAATCGGTCACGTCGTCCATTATGTTCTTCGTTTAATATCAGCGATTAATCTTTGTGCGCTTAATTATTCCCTTGTATTCGCTGCGGAACTAGCGATCAGTAAAATATCGAAGAAGGAAGGAAGGTAAGGGGGAGGAAGGAAGGGAAATAGGAAGAGGAGAAACAATGCACGCCGACGTAAGCTGCAATTTCAGCGATCCGGTGCATCATTCTTTAATGGACCTGCGCTGATGAAATCGCTCCTTGTAACTATCCACCGCATTCTTATCGACCCTTCGCGGACGTGACGTCACAGACGACTCAGAATGCAATTTTCTTTCGACATGTCCGATGATTCGTTCCAATCTTATTTCACTGCTGTCACACGTGAAAGTTCAACATAGGACGTTTACTAATCTCATATCCCGTTTCGGTACAATTATATGTTATAATTAATTTTAGTACTAAATTAGGAGAATAACAAGAGAGAGGGAGAGAGAGAGAGAGAGAGAGAGAGAAAGAATATAAAAAAATATCCGGTTGTAGATACGCGCTTACAGGCGGGTCTGGTTTTAAAAATTAAGAGAATTTTGATTGGGAGAGTCGATAAATTGTTATATTGTATATATCGGTATTTATAAAAGATTTAACGCGATTCGATGCGCGGCGACTCGGTGAATAGAGCTGACCACACAGAAAAAGGCCTCGCCTCCCGGATCTCTCCCGCCAGTATGTAAGCTTCGGAATATACAATGCCGAGTAAATTGGACGGAAATACATGCGGAATTGATCGCGGAAGTGGTTCGTTTCCCTCGTGTGCGGTACCTTAGATCCCGAAATTCTCGAATCCCTGAAACCTTAGAACTGTTCCGATCTAGTCCAAGTGATTTGATAATGATAAGAGAGAAACAAATCGATGGTATTTTCAAACGGCGCGATATAAACTGACCCCACTCACGATTCGCGGGCCACGTGGATACCTGAGTTCCAGGTTGCCACGCTTGAAACGGCCGCTCCCACTACCTGCCGATTACTCCTTCCTCCTTCGTCCTCCTTCGTACTCCCAGCTCGGCCAATTGCGGTGTGGCTTACCTCGATCTCGTGTCTGTATGTGTCATCTGTCTGTATCACGTCGGTTAGTATCTCATGAGTGCCCCAACAGCTCGGTTGCCGCACCGATCTTCTCGGAAAGCGCGCGAAAGTGTTTCGCGACATATTTCCAAGTGTTGTTATCAGTGTTGTTGATTCTTCAATTAGCCAATTGGCAATTCATCATTACGTTAATATAACTTATTTTTGCGTCTAGTCGGGGAGCAAAGAAAGCTGTTATTGTGCTTAATGAGGTAATGATATTTATTTTTATTATAACACGTTTTGAAAGATTGTTCGGCGAATTTTTTATTCCTTACCGCTTACACTGCAATAAAAACGTTCATTATCACAAGCATATGACGATTAAAAGAAATATATCGAGTAATACATAATCAAATCAAAATATTCATTAAGACTTTCTCATCTTTCCATAATCCTTTATTAAACATGGATTAGCTGTGGCCACCTAGTCACACACATGCATATTTCAATCAAAGCGTTAGTGACTCTCTATAATCTTGATTTTTATATAAATATGTGTGCGCGCACGTGTGTGTGCGCGTGCGTGCGTACGTGCGTGCGTGTGTGTGCGTATCATGTAAAATATCCTATACTTTTGTTAGAAGTATATTCAGTCATGGATCATTGTTCAATTCTCGGGTCGTCAAAGAAAATATAATAGCGTTTGCAAACAATAACGTTCCTCTCTTTATTTATCGACTGATTTATCATTTATGTTTACCGCAACGAAAGTTTCACGAGAAGAAGGAATGTAGACTAATCCGCGTACTTGTGCGAGGCATAAGTAAATCTAAAACATTGACGTTTCCAAACAGTCCATGTGCGCGTATGTTCTCTGTTTCTTCCCAGTTAACT